CTAACAGACACAGACACTCTAAGTTATTAATCGAAGCCGTTAGTCAACCAAAGAAAAAACAAAATGAGGGAAATTGTGCATCTCCAGGCCGGTCAGTGCGGAAACCAGATTGGTGCCAAGGTTAGTACAGCTTTTTATGTTTTTTGTGCGTTTGAAATCGATGTATTTTAGAAAAGAAACGCCGCGTCCTGTGTGCTGCTTTGTGTCCTACTTATGAAAATGTTACTTTAAAATTTAAGCCAAACCTAAAATCTCAAGAGCTGCCCTTATGGGTTGTGATGCGTCGAATTGTAATGAATATAAATCGATTTTACTTAATTTACAAATCTGATAAATTGAGTTAATGCTTTGTAAATCTAAAACAAATGTCCGCAGGTGTGACCATGTTGGCGGTCAATGACGTAGCTAGTCGCAGCCAATCGGCGATGAGGCCGCGCGCGCGTTCTGCTAAACGGCGGGAAGTTGTAGTTGAACAATTATCTAATCAACCTCTACAGAACTGCTGCATCCGCTTAAAAATGAAAGAAACCGATACATGATGACCTGCATCCACTTTGCATTACTGCCTGCTCATTCCCCTGTCACTTTATGTTTGATCAGCCAACAATGTCTTCTTATATTTTATTATATTTCAGTTTTGGGAGGTGATCAGTGATGAGCACGGCATTGACCCAACTGGCACATACCACGGTGACAGTGACCTGCAGCTTGAAAGGATCAATGTCTATTACAATGAAGCCACAGGTAAGGTTGAATTAGATGTTTTAATAGGCATAAACTTTGTGGCTTTTTTGTGAACATTACCCTCACGTCCTATATGCTTCTTGAAGGTGGCAAATATGTTCCTCGTGCTGTGCTGGTGGATCTGGAGCCAGGAACCATGGACGCTGTGAGATCCGGACCCTTCGGCCAGGTCTTCAGGCCAGACAACTTTGTTTTTGGTAATTGTTAATTTGTCCTTGCATTCCTAGCTACTTCTCATTTTGCATTTAAGTACTGTGAAGCTTAATTCCCTTTTCTTTCCCTCTTCTAGGCCAGAGTGGTGCTGGCAACAACTGGGCCAAAGGTCACTACACGGAGGGTGCAGAGCTGGTGGACTCTGTCCTGGATGTAGTGAGGAAGGAGGCAGAGAGCTGTGACTGCCTGCAGGGCTTCCAGCTCACACACTCTCTTGGTGGTGGTACTGGCTCTGGGATGGGCACACTGCTCATCAGCAAAATCCGTGAAGAGTACCCCGACCGTATTATGAACACCTACAGCGTTGTGCCCTCACCCAAAGTATCAGACACAGTTGTTGAGCCCTACAACGCCACACTGTCAGTCCACCAGCTTGTAGAAAACACAGATGAAACCTTCTGTATTGACAACGAGGCTCTGTATGACATCTGTTTCCGCACCCTTAAACTCACAACCCCATCCTATGGTGACCTCAACCACCTCGTCTCTGCCACCATGAGCGGCGTCACCACCTGCCTCAGGTTCCCCGGACAGCTCAATGCTGACCTGAGAAAGCTGGCTGTAAACATGGTGCCATTCCCTCGTCTGCACTTTTTCATGCCAGGCTTCGCTCCCCTCACAAGCCGAGGCAGCCAGCAGTACAGGGCCCTCACTGTACCAGAGCTCACCCAGCAGATGTTCGACACAAAGAACATGATGGCTGCCTGCGACCCACGTCATGGCCGCTACCTGACAGTGGCTGCTATCTTCCGTGGCCGCATGTCCATGAAGGAGGTGGATGAACAGATGCTGAACGTGCAGAACAAAAACAGCAGCTACTTCGTTGAATGGATCCCCAACAACGTGAAGACGGCTGTCTGTGACATTCCTCCCCGTGGCCTCAAGATGGCTGCCACGTTCATCGGCAACAGCACAGCCATCCAGGAGCTGTTCAAGCGCATCTCTGAGCAGTTCACAGCCATGTTCAGGCGCAAAGCTTTCCTCCATTGGTACACCGGGGAGGGTATGGATGAAATGGAGTTCACCGAGGCTGAGAGCAACATGAACGACTTGGTGTCAGAGTACCAGCAGTACCAGGATGCCACCGCCGACGAGGAGGGCGAGTTTGAGGAGGAAGGCGAGGAGGAGCTTGCCTAAACCTGAAATTGTCAAAATCTGCCTTGAAAATGTAACGTTCCAACCAAGTCTTTTCCAGTTTTCAGTGTTCTGTCTGCTGTTCATGTGAATAAAAGTTTCTTCTGCATTTTTGAAGTCTTAATGTGTTTAATAGTATTCACAGGCTATCTTCAAATTAATGAGATGTATTTATTAGAGTAGAGGCACTACACTGTAGATAAGGTGTAGCTGCATGGCTGGTGTTTTGCCAGAAATACAGATGTAAACAAACATTTAAAATCTGTTATCATGTGACTTAAATGAGGAGTGGTAAGATCAAGATGGAGATTCTGGGTATAAATGTGGTTCATTCAATGTTTTGTTGCTATTTTTATTCGTAGATAAAGGTGCTACCAAAATGTAGACAAAGCACATATACCCAACTGCAGAAATATAACTACCAGTACATTCAATGTTGATTAAATTACAAGCTGAAAGGAAAGTGTTCATGAGACATCACATGCAGTGTTTGGCGTTTGAATACTCCTGATAGTCTGAAGGTAACATACTGATCATCCAGCTTCTTACTAATAAAATGATGCATCTTAAACCCCTTCTGCAAACACTTCCATACTGTCGCTCAGTCTCTGACAGTTCCTGGTTGTGGTCGGTAGGTGGCAGTGTTGGCTAAACCACTCTCTTCCAAACACAGTAGGTCAGGATGCTCACAGCCAAGGCCAGCAGAGTCCAACAGCACACCTTCACCTGGCTCTCCAAGCCCTGCTTCGCTCCAAAGCAGGACACAAAGCTGCTCTGTCAACAACAAACAAGTAGATTGAACTGTCAATGAACACAGATGTGTACTGTAATCATTCAGATTTCTAAGGAACACATTTTAACCTGAATTCTCACTTTAAATCAGAAAGATTGTTGATACAACTCGGATTAAAAAGTCTCAAGAAACCTGTATTTTACAGTTATGATTTTACCCAATTAGTTTGTAGATCTCTAAACACAATTACGACAGCTGTTTGTGTTGTTATTGAATAGACTAAACACTTAATAAAAGAATCTGAATGTTCTCTACATGTTTGTGTGCTCCTGCAGCAGCAGCTCAACAGATATGACTGATTAACATTTTGATCAAAAATAAATCATTGTGGGAAAAAGCAGATTCAAGTTACATGGAAAAAAACATGCAGACATTCTCTGGGGCGCCATTAAACCTTCCGGTCTCTCAAGCTAATGCTAATGTTCCTGAACGTACCTATACACAACATCCTTGCCTTTTGGGTTATACTTTCTTTTTTTTTTTTTTTTTACAAAGGTTTATTTCTTTATGTCTTTATTTGAGAAACAGGGCAGTGGGCGATAGAGTAAGAAATCAGGGCGAGAGAGTGGGGAACAACACGCCGCAGGTCGGATTCAAGCCGAGGACTGTAGACTCTGTACATGGGGCGTGTTGATGAACCACTGTGCTACCGGCGGCCCTCTTTTGATTATTCATAGACCTCTACTCTTCTTTATGAGACAGTAAGCTTGTGTTTTTGTTTTACACCTCATAACAACAGACCATTTTCTCTGTACATGAGAATCATTTTACTCCTAATCTCCTGAAAATCCCAGTGTAGCCTATTTTGAAAAATTAATGACAGACGATTAAAATAAAATAATAAATTCCTTGAAAAGTATCGCAAGTAAATATATTTATAGTAAGCCTCTGATCAGAGATCTTCTCAAGCCTATTCCTACACCGGAGTATGTTGAAATGTGTGTCTGAGGTTACATGTGGAGTGTGCATTCAATGAACAACTTCAGTTTGAAGCCAAAAATAAGCTTTTTGTTTTGTCGAGTAATGTAGGTAGGTATGTTGCTTTTCTCAGAGTTTAGAAAAGGATATCTGAGACATTGAAAAACTGTAGTGTGCCGTCTTCAGGTTTCACAGCTCAGATTACTTCAGATGCTCTAAAGGCCCGGAGATAACAGTAAGACATGTCATCATTTCTGAACTGATTTTTTTAATTGTATTATTTAAAAAATATATAAAATGAGTCTAATGCAGCCATCTACCTGATCTTTAATGGGACCCAATGTCTCATCAAGTGAATAAGTGACATGATTATTCTGTGTAGGATGTAGTGGTACATGTAGGTCTGAACTTTCAGCCTGTGCTGCTTTGATTGAAAAAGGTGTTTTTAAAATAACCTCTTATATGTCACCAATGTTTATGAAAGTGCACTGCAGTAAAGGTTCTCTCCTTGTTTGACAAACTGCATTTCAAATTTGAGCTTATTTATTTTCTTAGTGTTATTCCTTTATTCCTTTAAGATCTTTTGTCATCATATTTTCATATTTAATCTTCTCTTCTGATTGTTGTGGTTGTTTCAGTCAATTTAAAACAGTCTATTTTAGTCTCTCCTTTTCCCTTTGTCTTGATGCTTTTGATGTCTTGTGTGAATCGCCTTGTTGTTGAAATGTGCTCTATAAATAAACTTCACTTGCAGCATGTCGCAGGGATTTGAGTGAGTTTTATACAAATGAAAGTGGTTTTGTATTAAACGGAGAATCAGGTTGTTTGATCTCCTCTGTAGATGTAAATATTCACTCATGAACACTCACCCATCCTCCCTTCTCCCGTATGTCATTGCAATCTTCTTTCATTTTTTGAAATAACTTTTTTTTTTCTTTTTTTAGCCAGGTCACTGTCACACTAATCCTCATAAAACTTAAAAAATAAAGATAAAAAATAAATAAATAAATTACGAACAAATGACGTTCACATTTTTAAAGCGTACAGCTGGATTATACCGCCCTCTAGAGGAGAGACTGACGTAATGCATCCGAGACTGGCCCTGTTACTGTGGTAACCAATTATCAACAGGACCCGCCGGGCTCTTTTAGCACATTTAACCCAGTCTGTGTGATTAACAACAGACATTGACGGCAAAATGTCTGGAGGTCACGCAGAAAGCCTCATTAAAAACATTATTGGTGACATAGTGCGGGAGTGTGCGGTGAGAGGACATGCGGTGTCTGAAACTCTGGTGGCTTTCATGGTCAGTAACCAGGACTAACCTGCTAACTACATTGTAGCTTAAAGTTAGCTGGTAACTACCACTAGTTCAACATGTTTAATGCTTGATATAAATTAAGTTAAGACAGTCATAAATCTTTTTCATGTGTTAACAGGTTAAAACCCTTCAAATAACAGTTAAAAATGTCATTTTATATTGATTTAAACATATAGGCTACATCTCCCCTTCTACTAACCAGTCTGGCATGTGTGGAGGACATTAAAACTCCATTTATTAACTGTTTATTTATATTTATCATATATACTAATGATATACTGTATTTAATACATGCATTGTTTTGTCCTGTTTGCATTTTGTCAGGTGAAAGCTGTGGTGCTGGACCCTAGAAATGGCTTTAATGTGGTATGTGGTACCTCGAAGAGGTGAGTTTACTACAGTGTTCAATTATTTTTTCTCCTTATAACACTTCTTCTTGCATTAAAGAAAAAAACATTTCTGTTGATGACTATTAGTAAATTAATTTTGATGTATCTAGAAATTACCATATGAAAATATATTCTTAAAGTTAATACATTTTCAGCTCACAACCCCCAAAATAAGGGTGCCAGACTACCGTCCCTGGAGGTCGTGAAGGCATTCACAGCCAAGCACACGCACTAATAGGCCTATCCAAACACTGGTAACACTGAAACACAACACAAAAGATTACAACAGAATTAAAAACCATACAGTTATAGAAATTGTTTTCCGTTTTCCATGAACAATTAAGTCCTATACTTTCATGAGTATTTTCAAAATCTGTGTAAAAACCCTCTCTATACAGTACGTCAGTCACATCATGAAGAAATGCCTGAGCACATTCTGGCTGGGTGGGTGGGAGGGACTTGTCATTAAATGTGCCTTGTAATTCATGTAATTAGATTTTTTTAACCAGAGATAATAATAATAATAATAATAATAATAATAATAATAATAATAATGATAATAATGATAATAATAATAATAATAATGATAATAATGATAATAATGATAATAATAATAATAATAATAATAATAATAACAATAACAATGATAATAATAGTAATAATACATTTTATTTGTAATGCACTTTATATTTTTGGAAAAAATCTCAGTGCTACAGAGATTAAAAATTAAATAATAAATCATCAGAATAAACCATTGGAATAAAAACAAGAAAGATTAGACAAATACACTTCCTGAGATTTATGTTGTTACAGGAATTTCTAAATACTGATGTCATGAGGTGAAGCCGCAACATTTATATTTGAATTGACGTAGAAAAAATACATCTTTTAAAGGTTTTAAAATATTTATTGTTCATTTTGAAGGATTTATTCATTGATTTAAACGGCTATTTAACTGTAAATGAGTTCAACTTATTAGTGTAAAAACCTTGGACTAGTCACTGATTTGCTCTTCACAGCTGTGTCTGGATAAACTGATGGAGAAGTGCAGCCCGTCCCTCGACACAATCAAGATGCAGGTGTATTTTGATTTGAATTACACCTCCAGACGTAAGTGTCTCTTTTTGAAATGAAAACCAATATCCTGTGTGTCTTAACCCAGGAGTAAACATCATTCTCTTCAGTGTATCATAGAAACTGGTATTATTTTGTCGTCAAAAGTTTTCACTGCATCGTTATTTTGATGCCTGACCCGTGTCTAAGGATGCATCATATCATATCTTTATATTAATTGTACGATTATCTAGTCAACTCATCTAAATCAGTAAGATTATTCTGCAGCAAAGATTTTAGAATAATTGAGAAGCAAATAAAAAAAGGTTTTTGACTAAAAACCTGAAACGTTGTTTATGGAAACCTTCTTAAATTGTGGCCTTTTTAAAGATTACATATGAGCGTTGTAAATTGAACATCTTAACAGATACCTGAATGTGTTTGTGCAGGAGAGTTCCTGGAGGATATCCACCAGGTGATGGAGTCCAAGCTGAGCTCAGTGAGCAGAGAGATCACAGACAGCAGGGTGAAAACACGGGAAGAGTTAGAAGCATTGTACCGCAAAGTTGTAACGTACATCCTGCTGCGCTCCGGCGTGGGCTCCCCCGCAGACGTCAACACTGTGAACGAGGCTACAGGTTCAAACTAACACAGTGTTTCACTTTGTCAGAACCACAGATAGAAAACATGCACTGACTGCATTAGACTTTATGGTGTGCAAATAATGTTTCTGAAACCAGCAAATATTTATCAAGTCCCTGACAGTGCAGGACTGGTTGCTTCCAAAATATATATACTGTACCAAAGCCAATTGTATTCACGTTCTCTGTTTTTCTGGATTAACAAGATACTGGAACCTCTAAATCCCAACAGGAAGTCTCCTTCTGACCACTTAAAGCAGCAAACATTCCCAAACTTTAAAGTTGACACTTTATGTAACATGGATGGTGTTGTTATTAGTCTGTAACTTTGCACAGGTGATTTGGATCTTTGCAGACTCAAACCCCGCTCTGATCTGTCAGGATGTTTCACTGATATAACACTGATGCGTCTGAGCTGCATTCAGGCGGCTACCTGCTGACTCAATAGACAATCAGGTATTTATTGTAAATACTGGATCTCCACTAAGTGCAACTGAGGGACCAGTGGTTTGAAGGGACACTTCTCTGACATCATTATCTCATTGATTCAGAAAAACAGAGCAGGTTTTTATTTTCTCATGTGAATGCAACACACCTCTGTATATTTTACACTCAATCACAGATATCTCTTTTTTTCACAAAGGGCGATTTGTTGTGAAGCCAGAAGTAACTTTTATCAACAGGCGTTAACCCATAAATACAAACCAACTACTCCATCACAATCACATGTAGTTATTTTAAAAGACAAAGACAACAGGGAGAAATCAGCTTAAATGATATCAAACTGTACGATACCCTGCAGTTCTTTTCTGCTGCTAGGGGTACCAGCAGTCAAAGGAGACAGTGTGGATAAACTCATTCAAACAGGAATAAAACCTCAAACCTCGCAGCTGCTGAGAAAAAGTAAAAGTATTGGCTGAACTGTCGTGGGTATAACCTTTAAATGCTTCCACTAAGTTTCTTTGCTGTATAAAATTGATCATCTTCAAGTAACTCTCAAAACAACCTGACCGTCTGCTTTTTAGAAAGTCGTCCACCATAACAAATGTTGTTGACATTCTCTTGACAAGTAAGATACAATTCTAACCAATAGTTTTACTCGAGTCTTCTGCTGCTCTGGTCCAATAAATGTACAACATGTATGTAAATGGGGAGAAAAACCTCTCAGCCTAATGCAACATCCCTTCATCTGAAGTCTCAGTAAAACACACTTTGTTAAACTGACACAATCTGACAGTTTCAGTCTAAAATGATTTAGATCATATTTGTGATCAGGCAAAACAAGCTGCTGTACTGGATCACATATGATGTGAACCTCATGAAGTGTATCTGCTTAGTCTATAAGTCATCTATATTTGAACTGTTGCTTCCTCCTCTCTCTCGTCAGCTGCCCTGCAGAGCGTCTTCCCTCACACTGAGCTGGGAGCCTTCATGGTCCTCCTGAAGAGAGACAAAGAGCTGCAGCTCAAAGAGCTCACCATGACCGTCACAGGGATCCGACTCTTCAACAAGGCCGGAAAGAAAGGAGAGCAGGAGACTGACCTCGATAAACTAAGTACACAAAACCAGACACTGACATGAAAGCACCATGTCATGTTATATGAATATTCACATGCCTGATCAACTTGGCCAAAAACTATAATGTGACTTTTTTTAAATCACAAGACAGAAAATCAGACTTGGCAGGTACTCTTTAGGAAATATAACTTAAAGGGAAATTGTGGCATTTTTTTAACATCGACTCTTTTCTGATATGTTTTGAGTCCAGTTGAAGTTTTGAAATTGGCTTTAATCTGATCATTTTTATATTCTAATTTTCAAAATGTGTCCAGTTCAAATTGTTATACTAAGTGTCTGTTAACATGATAGAAAGGATCCCTACAGAGATAGAGCTTTTTGTTGAAGAGGAAGATTATTTCTTTAACAAGAAACAGACGCTGCATCGCTCACTTCAAAGACACCCGACTCAGCTGACAACAACAGTCATTTTAACCTCACAGACACAGAAGTAGATGATCATCTTTTGCTTGATCTGTTTGTGTTATAGTAGACCTAAAATCTTGTTTTCTGCACCATAACAATCCAAAAATGATACAGCAACTCTAGAATTTCTACAACTTCAGTGTATTAACGCAGAGATCATCTTAAAATGTCCACATTAAGAGAATCATCACCAGTGTTCATAGTGAGGGAATTGTATCAGATATTTGAACAATCTGGGAATACATTCCTTACCAAGACATTTCTTCACAAATGTGTTCATAAAGGAGTCTTATAACACATTTAAAAATATTTAAATCTAACTCCTGTAGGAAAATTTGTGAGAGCTTCTCAAATTTGGGGTACCTGGAACCTTACTGGTGATAAATTGAAAATGTTAACCTCTGCCTAAGGTAGCTTGTGAGGGGTCAAACTAGGGTCCAATCATCTCCACCTCTGTAAAACATGTCACTGTCTTTTAACATTCTCTCTGCAGTGCCTGCAGCTCTGACTGAAGCTCTTCCAGCCATCAGTACGAGCTTAGAGAACGAGCTGAAAATCTCTCAGAGTTTGGCCTGGAGATACACGGCTGTGCTGGAGAAGCTGACGCACCCTGACTGTCGTTCTGCAGAGCGTGATGTTCCCATGGTGTTACTGAAACAGGCTCTCTACAACGTCAGGCAGCATGAAGGTTTCCTCAGGATGTTATTGGTGAGGACACAGCAGCTGGTGGTGATGATCCTGTAGATATTTAAGGTTTATGTAGCTTACATTTCAATAGTTCTGTCTGAGAGATTTTGATGTTTTAACAGGTTTATTTCACTTGTTTGTGTTTCCTTTTATTCAGCACTTAGTGACTTAGATTAGAGGAACTTATTTATTAGCAGAGTGGGTTGAAGCTTGTCTCGTGCACATTCCTAAGTGGATCCAAAGTAGATCCAAAAACACAAATAGGTAAAGAGAAGCAAACAAGATCCCGTTTAAAATATTTATTGACAAGTGACATTTTGAGCCAACATGCTCTTCCGTCACTTATCAATAAATCCTTTAAACGGGAGCTCCTTGGTGTGCAGGTCTTGTTTGCTTCTCAAATGAAGAACGTCTCATGGTGGGTGACTTCTGAAGCTTCAAACGTCACTGTGCCTGAAAAAGATCTTTAACTAGTTTGACTTTTTCCATTTGTGGGGCAGGTTGTTCCACGGTTTCCTCACAGAAAACGCTCTGTCCTCTTTAGTTTTCAGTTTAGTATTTGGAACGACCAGAAGTCCTCTGTCCGAGGATCTCAATGTACAAGTCAGCTCTTATGGTACTAATAGGTCAGAGATGTAGCAGAGAGAAAGATCGTGGACAGCATAAAAAGTAATCAGTAAAATCTTAAAATCTATTCTGAAACACACATGGAGGCAGTGTGAAGACGCTATAACAGGAGTGATGTAGTCATGCTTCCTGGTGCTGGTTAAAAGACTGGCAGCTGACATCTGTACCGTCTAGAATCGATCTGTAGATTTGATGCTCAGGCAGGTCAAAAGGCTGCTAGAGTAATCGAGGCGTGATGAGATAAAAGCAGCTAAATTCTGTAAAGTGTTTTAAAGATGTAATTTAAATATTTCTTTGATGATAAAAACAAGACCATACAAGTTTTGTTGTATGCTGTTTAAAATGTAAGTCACTGCTTCGTAAATATGTGTTTTCCATTGTTCCACCAGGCTGATGCTTGTTTATGTGCCAAACACGCAGAGCTCCTGCAGGCTGAGTTCTCCTCAAACATGAAGCTGCTGAAAGAAACTGTGAAGTCAAAGGCAGCTGTACCCACTGCAACAGTGTTTGTAAGTTCTGATACCTTATCGTTTCAGAGGTTGGGGGGTGGGGGGGGGGCTGCCACACTGAAGGGCTCTGCCCCCCAAAGTCTGCTCGATGGTGTGGGGAGTGGAGAGCAGAGCAGTGTCTGAGGACTGGAGGTTCTGGGTCAGAGTGTAGGAGGTGGAGGAGGTCTGAAAGGTACTCAGGGGTAATGTCGTGCAGGGGAGTTGTAGTAAGAAAAGTTCATTTGGTACAGTAAAGCATCTATAGCAAAGTGCTTTACAAAATGTAAGTTGTTGCTAGTTCTGTGTTATTTCCTTGTTAATTGTTTAGCTCCAATACACAAGTCAAATTCCTTTTATGTGTAAATGTACTTGGCAATAAAACCCAATTCTGATTCTGATTCTGAAAATATTACCATAACAGTCTTAAGATAAGCAATAAGTGAGAGTAATACTAAGAAGCTATTCACAAAGGGGCAGGGAATTGAAAAGATATAAACAATGTTTATAAATATAAATATAATGTGTGTACTGTGTTAATAGAGTAGATATTGCACAGTGTTTGTATTACGCTCAATAAGAACAAAATATAAACAAATTGTTGACCAGTTTGCGGACAGATTTGCACGGTTGCCAGGTTAAATAAATTCAGGTTTATAGTCCAGGAAATTTCAGAGTAAGTGTCTGAGTGCCTAATGGAGTTATAAAATCTGAAGCCCACAGGCAGGAATTACCTTCTGTTCATCAAACTCTCAATAAAGTATCAGATAATGCTCATCTTACAGTATAAATCACAGTTTGTGCGTACAAGATTAAAACAAAAAGGAATCATCTCAATCATGTCTTCTCATCAGTTGAAGAAGAAATCAAAAAGTGTGCCTTTGTGAACACAGACTTTTACCATTACAAAATGTTGCTTTGTTTTATCTTCCTTTGTTTTTTCACTGCACCTTTTACTGCATCTTTGATCAAAGGTTTCGTATGAATGAAAAAACATGAAGTGCTTCAGACTCATTTTTGTCTTTCAGCCGCTGTTTAAGGCTCTGCCTAAGCTGTGGTCGGGACTCCAGGACGAGGCCGAGCTACTGAACATCCTCAATAACATCAGCATCAACCTGCAGCCCTTCATCGCCTCGCAGGCCAAGATCTTCTCTGAAGCTCATTTAGACGGTCTGTTGGAGTCCTCCGAGGTGAAGGCAGATGAGCAGAGGATGATCGAGTCCTCGGGTAACGACTTCTTTTGAAATCAACTACAGAGTAAAGTCCATATTCCTTAAGACTTCAAGAACTGAACTGTATCTGAACCCAACTGACTCGTAATGCTGCTGTTTCTCTAATGCTGTGTAGGTGAGCGAATCGATCCAGGTGAGATGAAGTCACACAATTGGCTCCTCCCTGAAACTACAGCCAGCTTTAACGAGCTGCCACTGCAGTATAACGGAGTCTGTGGATACACTGTGGTGACCAGAGACGGACTCCTACTACCAGGTACTGTCGTCATGAAACACCAGGAAGTCATCCACACTTAACTTTTTTTAAAGATTTATTATTTTAAAGATTTATTCATTTTATGCCTTTATTTGAGAGACAGGGTAGAGACAGGGGATTGGGTCAGAAATTAGGGACAGAGAGAGTGGGGATATACTGCAAATGTACCACAGGTCAGATTCAATCGCGGGCTACCCGCTTTGAGGACTGTAGCCTCTGTACATGGGGCACACGAACTAACCACTAGGCCACTGGTTGTGGGGTGATCTTACAACCATTTTATCTGGTGCATGGAAAAGGCAATATTTATCTAAATGTTAACTGTATAAAATGTTCTTCTTACTTCTGTCTATTATTCCACATACAAGCTGTCTATATGATGAGCGTCTTTAATCTAGTCTGATGTACCTAAAAACCAATCAATTTAAAAAATATTGAAGTGGAGAGTGTTTAAAAATGTCACTTAAATGGTAGCAGCCAATCTTTTGCCTGTTTTTGAAGTGTGCCCACTTCAATACATCAGTACTCACAGGTTCATCGTTTTCCAGTTTATTCACTTGAGAGTTTCCACAATTTCCGAAACAGCATCCAAACGTAATATTCCAATATCTGAATCTACTCTAAAGGCAAAGACACTCTCATTTTCTCACACCACCTGTACATTGCGCCCTCCATAATTACTCAACTCTACCTATAAATACCTGCAAAAAATATGTCCAACTGATCCATTAATTAACATAACAAACAATACAAGCTTTCAATTTAAAATCAAATGCTTCCCATAAATTACATTCTTACTCCCCATGTGCAATTAACTCGATTCTGATTCTGATTTTTCCTTTAAAACTGCTCAGTTTGAAATATCTGTGTCCTTTATTTCACAGGTAATCCTCACATCGGAGTCCTCAAACACAAAGAGAAGCTCTATGTTTTCAGCTCCAAAGACGCTGCGGTAAAATTTGCCTCCAGTCCAGAAGAGTTCATTGAAGAGGTGGCTGAGAAAGCAAAGCTCTCACCTGAACTTATTCAGCTCCTCAAACTGCACCAACAGTTCTCCTGCGTCAGTCCGTACCCTGAGGTCAGCAGCTTCAGTGAAAGACGTACACCTCTTCTTAGAACACCTGTGATAGATATAAAGATTGGACAGAGCATTCAGAAAACAGTTTTATTTGAATGTGATTTATTGTTTGTAGAGGATCCAGTCTTTCTTCTCTGACGTTTTATCAGAGTTTGAATGTTTACTTCATGGCTTTGTAGATGCAGCCAGGTGAAGGTTTACTGGTGAATCCGATCACCAACTGTGAGAGTGGCACACAGACCGACATCCACCCACTGGAGACGAACATGGACAAGTCGTACGAGTGGAACGAGGGGGAGGTGCGAAGAAAAGCTATCAAACTGCTGAGCCTTAATGTATTATATGTGATGAACCATTGTAAAAATTGTCACACTGTGAGACCACATTAGGTGTAAAAGTAATATCTATCTCGAATGAGGTTCATTTGATATAAATGAATGCATCTTTTTGTATTGAATATTTCCAGGCTGATCTCTTGAGCAAAGCGACCCACTCAACACAGACCGATATGAGCCACATGAGACGAGAAAACACGACCCAGACGTGGCTGCCAAAGAACGCCGTCTGCCAGAGTAAGAGAGATGGTAAGAGCAGCGTGCCCAAACCTCAGACCTACCTGACAGGACTGGGAGGACAGAGAGACGGACACGTGGTCAAAACCAACCTGACCAGACCTGTGGACGATTAAAAGGTGTCCCAAAGAAACTTCAGTTGTTGTGAAAAATAAAAGTCAAAGTTAGCAGTTTTTGTTTTGTGGTATTCGTTTTATTCTTGTGGTTCCCGAGGAATCTGCACTAAACTTTATGAAAGATAAAAAAAAGGCTCAATGACGTTTTAGTTTAAAGCTTTTCTCACATAAATCAAATTTTACTGGAATAGTGTGAGTGTGCTGCTGCCTACATTGATTTTTTTAACTAATTGGCTGTTTTACTACATTCATCTGGAAATGAACAATAATATGATGTGACTCTTTTTTCTGCATGCACACTAAAGTTTATAGCTATTTTTTTTAAATCATTTGTATAAGCCAATCTGCCGTTTACTCCATATTATTGTAATTAATATTCCAAACATATTTTGTGTTAACCTGTATAGTATATATTGTAGGGCCTATAGTTTACAAAAGAAAAAATAAAGGTCTATGGACTTTAGTTTGAATGTATTTTAAGGATCAAACTTAAAAATGAGATGAAGGGGGCACTGGTAGGTAGGGGCCCAGACCTGTGGCATCTCCTGCATGCCATTCCCCACTCTCTCTATCCTCAATTTCTGACTCTATCCACTGTCCTATTTCTAAATAAATGCATAAAAGCCCCAAAAATGAACCTTAAAAAAAAATTAGATTAAGCTTTTTTTGTACAATGACAAATAATTGCTTTTAGCTCATATGTGAAAAACTGAAATGAGCAAATGGTAACAAAGACAGAGAAGTGCTCTCTTGTTGTGCATTTAAAAATAATGAGGAAAGCTATTATTATATTATATTAGAAAAAAACTGTAATTCATTTATTTTACTTTTTTTCTAATTTATTTGTTAATTAAGGCTTATTGCTTTTTAGCATGTTGAATTTTTTCCTTTTTTTAATTCTGTCTTTCTTGTGTTAGTGACAGATACAGCGACCTTTTCCTTTTTGTGCATACTTTCAGGTCATAAAACGGTTATTGTGCAAAGCAAATGCAAAAAAAACCAAAAACTTTCATTATTTTTTAAACAGAACAGAACACGACCACCGTATTGTGACTCAGATTTCATCCAGCTCCTACTTTAAATCAATAAACTTCAGTGAATATTTTACCTTTCTATGCCCGGTGTTATGGGTTAAAGAGTGACCATGTTATCTGCTGACTGGCGTCTGTGGTTGTCATAGTTACAATAGAGGTTGAAGACGGAAAGTTTTCTAACAAATGCCTCTTTATTTTTTGAATTGTAAGGTCAAAAATACTATATATATATCTATATATATAGATATATATATAGATATGGAAATAAATCATCATTAGGACATATTCCATCTTCAACATCTGCTGTAACTATGACAACCACAGACACCAGTTAACATTAGTCACTCTTTAAAGTTTACTATGACTGTAACACTGAACCTCGCTCAATAAAGTTTGTACCAATAAAAAAAACGATGTCACGTGACAAGTCAGTACACTTTGTGCTGCTACGTCATCACAAACCTGTGAAATCTTCACCAGTTTAAAGTAGTGATGTGAAACGCAGTTCTTTTCAGTGTACTGAATCAGTAGAATCAGTTCAGTAAAGTGATTCGTTCAAAAGATTCATTCACCGAATCGTTCAGTACTTCTCCGCAGCTCTGTCTGTGAATCAGAATTTAATAAGCTGAAACACGGCCGAACATTTAGTTCTGCTCGCGATCGTACTGAGAACAGCCGGTGGTGAATAATAAACCAATGAGCTGAGAATTTAGTTGGATAAAGTTACAGTTTGCAAACTGAAAGCTGCTAAAACAATCACATTTATTTTCCCCGACCGTTCTGTTCAGTACATTCAGTACACGTTTAGTTTGTTCACTGAACGAGAGCTCCGCTCTTCCTCTCAGTTCGTTCAGTGATTCATGTCGGAGCTCCCGTTCAGTTCGTTCGTTCACTGAATGAACTGAACGAGAGCTCCGCCTCCGAGTCACTCTCTTCCTCTCAGTTCGTTCAGTGAACGAAACACTGACTGAACGTGAACGAGCGAGACTGCAAGTCACCAGCCTCAGTCACACACACACACACACACACACACACACACACACACACACACACACACACACACACACACACACACACACACACACACACACTGAACTGACTGAGGAGAGGAGGGAGGGCGGGCTTTGAGCGACTCTTATGGTCTAGAGAGAGAGATAAGAGACGGGAGAGAGGAGAGCGCAACTGAAGTTGAGAAATGAACGACTCTTTTTAGTAAGTGATTCAGTTCGTTCGTTCACCCAGATGATTTGTTCGTTTTGAACGAATCGTTCATGAACTACACATCACTAGTTTAAAGTAAAAGATGTCTTTTAGTTGTGATGAGCTGCAGGATGTGAAACAGAGACTGAGCAGTTGTATCGATGAGTCAACAGAGAAGCAGTGAGGACATCTGGAGCTGTGCAGAGCTCGCATATCAGGAGCACAAGTCTCATGACAGGCTGGTGGAGTTCTTCACTCAGAAAA